TTCATTTCCTGCCCGCCCTAGTAAAACGTCTTTTCCCTTTGCTGTGTGTCTGAGAGCCTCCTGAGACCCACCAGAGTTAGTACCTTGTTGTTGAAATACCACTGGTACTTTTTTTCCAAGTCGTGGGTACTCCAGGCATGCTACTGCCGCCAGACAAGTGTGGGGTACTGGGAAGCAACAATAATTAAAATATCAATAGATTTTGAAGTACTTCTTTGTCACTTAGTAGCCATGTCTTGAGAAAACAGGCAGATTCACGAGGACTGAAATAAATTACAACTGACTAAGGGCATGTCTACGCTGCACCAGGGAGCATCTCTGTTTCTCAGCACGGCTGAAACAGCTGGGTTTTTTTCTCTGCTATTGGGACACTCTCCCATTCCACTGGTACAAAGGGTACTGAGGATATCGGGTAGAGTGAGGCCTCCATAAACCTATGCTAGATAAAACCAATACATTAAAATCATGCCCCTTAGAGTGTTGTGACAAGAAGATGTTCTGAATTAAGGATGTTAACTAGTGCTGGAGCCTGGGATCAGCTGGAGAGTCCCCAGCTGACATGGGCAGTGCCGCACAGCTGAGTCCAGGCTCAGCTGTGTGGCGCTGCCCCTTTGAATGCCGTCTGAGGCATCGGGGGCGAGGGGAATCGACTAGTCATCTAGTCAACTGACTATCCGATAAGCATTTGCGTATCAGATAGTTGACTAGTCTTTAACATCCTTATTCTGAACCTTCTGCATGTTTTACCTGAAATAGGTTGTTTATCCCTCAGAAAGTCCATACTCTTACTTTTTAACCCTCTCTTGTCAATTCCTTTTGCAAGACCCATGAGCCCAATCCTTGCCATTTTAACACTAATCCCTTTTTTCCTTTTCATAACTGCCCACTCTGAAAGCAGGCAAGCAGCCTCCTCTGATGCTTATGCACTTTTCTAATCAGAAAACAGAATGAACTGTCAGACTCCTTCCCCTAGAGATCAAGTGTATCCTTTCCATGATAGACTCAGACTTATCTGGCCTGCAGCACAAGAATTTCAAATCTGTCTTTGCACCTGGCTCATCTTTGGAAGGCAGCATGCAACATGCTTTGGGCCCTCATATACCTAGATAGGTTTTATCATCAGCTCTAGGAACAATTAGTACATGCAAAATATTGAAAATCTGAGTAAATACAGAAACAGAAAGTACACGAATAAGCCATCAGTAATGTGAGTGGTACCATAAGATAGCTGTAACAATCAAAGATATTTCAAGGCAAGTAATACTAAAGCATTTATGTGTTATTTTCACATTGTTACCTTCAATGTGCCTCATTCTGACCAAAAAACAATAAACTACCTACTCTAGAGGCAGTAATATGACCCCTTATTTTCATTATATCAAATGTATGAATAATTATTGTGTTATATAGAGAAAGGTGGAGGGTAGGATAGGAAGAATAAGGTACGTCTACACAGCAGGGCTAAACTTGAAATAAGCTACGCAACTTGAGCTATGCTAATTATGTACGGTGAGTTGAAATAGCTTATGTCAAAATTGGGTACATCTACACAGCACTTATTCTGAAATAGAGCACTCTTCCTCTGACTTCCCTTACTCCTCGTACAATGAGGTTTATAGCAGTCAGAGTAAGAAGCCCGTTATTTTGAATTTATTTTACTGTGTAGATGCGCAATATGTTATTTCAGAATAAATAGATGTACCCTAAATTAAAACCGTAGGCAAGGACCTGGAGTCAAGAGAAAGGAAATGAATATATTAGCCACTGAGAGCATGGAACTAAAACATGTTTTGCAAGATAGTCTGGAAAAATGTAATACAAGTTAAAATTATTTTTCTATTGTCAGGTATTTTTATACAAATCTTAAAGTTCCTATGACTGCACTTCATTTCCATCTGGTTAAATCCTCCCTTGTGACATATGTAACCACACCCTACCATGTGTGCTCAATTTCTACAGTCAATTTTCCGATGGTCAATATGTTTCCAGCAAGCATCATATACTTCATTCTCATTACCTCAATAAAACATATTATAGACATGAGGAAGTAATGATAGTCTGGTTTATTTTTAAGTATAATTAATAGTAGATTGATTCATTGTTGATCCTGACCGTCAGTCAGTGTGTGGGAAAATTTTTCTAACATCTTGGTTTTGTAGCAACAGCAAATGGGCTATGCAACTTCTTGGGAAGTGATAAAGGTTCTTGTGCCAGATTCTGCATGAGCCAATGTAAATCCACAGTAACTCAACTGAACTCAGTGAAGTAACTCTGAATTACACATGTAAATAAGAGGATATCTTTTCCACTCAGTTATAATTTGACTTAGGAAATTGAATTAACCTGAAATATTTTGTGTGAGATGGCTAGGCTTTGTCTAGCTTCTTATAAAACCATGTTAACAATTTTCACATGGTTTCTTTCTAAAACTATAAATAGGATCCACCTTCTCTCCTATTGAATGATATCTGAATAAGCCAGGATGGGTGGTTTGCCATTAAGCATCCAGATCACTTCATGTTAGTAAAACTACAGCTTTTCCCAAGGCAGATTTAAGTGGAGAAAAGTAAATTCCTTTCCACTCGTAATACTTACAAGAAATGGGTGAATGGAGACCCACCATTAATCTATATTGGGGTGGGAAATAAAAGAATGGCAGCCCACAGGATTAGGCACTGGCGGGCTGTAGCCGCTATGTTTACCCGAGCCTCCTCAGATATTGGAGAATCGCAGCTCTGGTTGGCTGCAAATTGCCATTCACAGCCAATGTGAGCAGTAGGAAGTGTCGCAGACTGGATGGCGACTCATGGCCAATGAGAGCTGTGATCCTACGATACCTACAGAGGTGCAGGTAAACATGGAGATGGGGGCCTGCCAGCGACTAACCTGCAGACTGGATCCAGCCCGGGGGCTGGATTTTACCCACCTCTGATCTATATGATGATTTTACACCCAGGCTATGTCTACACTGCAGGCTTTTTGCGCAAGAACACTTGTTCTTGCGCAAAACCTTGTGGAGCATCTACACTGCACACACATTCTTGCTCAAGTAACTTTACAGTAAAGAATCAGAAAGAGGGCTTCTTGCGCAAGAGTTATTCTTCTCCCCCCAAAGAATAAACCCTCTCACTCAAGAGCTCTTGTGCAAGAAGGCAGTGTGGACAGGCAACAAGGGTTTCTTGCGCAAGAAACTCCTATGGCTAAAATGGCCATCAGAGCTTTCTTGTGCAAGAGAGTGTCCACACTGCCATGGATGCTCTTGCACAAAAGCACATCTCCTGCGCAAAAGCACATGGCAGTGTGGACACGCTCTTGTGCCAGACCTTTTGCACAAGAACTCTTGCACAAAACAGTTCTTGTGCAAGAAGTCTGCAGTGTAGACATAGTCCCAAGTTCTAGCGTTCTCTGCAGTCGTTCTCTTACTTTCTTGTCCCTTTTCTACTCTCTTTCCAAGCTTTTCTTTTTCATCCCTTTCTCCCAACATGACTAGATATATAGTAGGTCGGGGTGGGGAACCTTTTTGAGTCAGGGGGCCACGTGCAAGTGAGAAGCAAAAATAAAAAATCCTCACTGATATGGCACCTGACTTAGAAGGAGAAAGACACACCCCACATTCCCCTGGCACACCAGAGCCTAGGAAAACCCAGCCTAGTAGATTTTGTGCACTCCAGTTTTGTGGTGGGGCGGCAGGGGGGTTGGAGCACTAGCACTGGCTCCCCAATGTAAGGGGGGCCCTTAACCTTGGGGGCCAGATCCAAGCAAACTTGGGTCTGCATTCAGCCCCCAGGCCTGACATTCCCCACCCCTGCAGTAGGTAATTAGGGTGACCAAATAGGGCAGCCTGAGACAAAAGTTCCATCCTCCTCTCCCTGCCGGACGATAATATGGAATAGACCCTACACATCACTAACATGCCCTTTTGGTGGTTATTACTAGAGCTGGGTGAAACCCTATTTCACAGCAACATACAAATTTAGATATACCCAAATCATTTTTGGGAATTTATGTTGATCTTGGTGAATTGTTTCCATTAAAAAAGAAGGAAATGTCAAAATGAATTATTTTAAATTTGGGGTTAGAGTCACAAGAGGAGTTAGGCACCATTCGCAAAATGTTTGTAGCATCACTTCTCCCTATCTCTTTTATACCTACCAGTCCAGTAGCTAGCATGCTCACCTGTGATATGGGAGACCTAGCTTCAAATCCTTGCTTTCAAAGAGCAGGGACTTGATCCCTCCACTCGAATGGCCTAATAGCCAAACCATTGAGGTGTTGGATCACCCTTAAATTATTCCGTTGATGCTGTTCCACTTTGTATAAATAATTCATTATTTGCTGGAGTTGGGACTGGAATCCAGTTGTTTCCTCTCCCAGATGTGTTCCCTAAGTAGCAGGCGACAGAGCCACACACAGTCTCTCTCTGGCCCAGTGAGTAGTCAATTATTTATACAAAGTGGAACAGCTGCAACAGGAAAGATTGAGAGTGATGTAGAAAATGACGAAGAAGCTATGCTGTTCCTGGTCCTCCTCATTCCCGTGCCAAAGGCTGGCTGCAGCACCTCAAATGGGCTGCCTTTTTCTGAGGAATTCATTGGCATTTCTGTATGAGGTTTTGCCGCTGCTGTTCCATGCCAATATCCATTTGAAAACACCATCCTTCATTTCTAAAAAATGTGTGCCTATCCAGATACAGATAAAGTTTCAACTGGGTACATTTTCATCCCAAAGACTGGCTATTTTTAATTTTGTAATCCTCAGCCAAGGATATTTCCTGTAGCTTTGGATTTAACAGTGAACATTTTCACAGTTCTGACACTAACTAGCTAAATACGAAAATGTTTCACACTGATAAATATGACATTGTCAGGTGCTGGTGTATAAAATATATTGTATTGTTGCCTACTGATCACCCACATACACACATAACATTTATGTCTTCAAAATCTTGCTATTGCAAATTACTATTCACTGTGACTTTCTGCTTTTCCCCCATTTCTTAGATCGAATTGCACAGAATATCATTAAGTCCCATTTGGAGACATGTCAATATACAATGGATGAATTACACCAGCTAGCATGGCAGACGCATACGTATGAAGAAATTAAAGTATACCAGAACAAGGTACAATACTCTAACACTCCTTATCTTGCTTTTCCTTCTCCTTGTGATTTATAATGATTCAGTGAAGTATATTTGCTAAGGGTTTGTTGATCGATACCCAGTTAAGCTTTATACCCTTGGTGGTGGGAAATAGCACTTTAATATTAGAAGAACTTGGCAATTGAAGATGCAACTGAACATTTTAAAAAGAAAATAACATATTATTAGTGTGTTTGCTAGTAGTGTAACATCAGGCCAAAGATAATGGTTATAAAATCAGTCTCCCATATTTATTATTTACCATAAGCCTGATCTTTTCCCAAAACTTCAGTTGACTTTAATGGGAGCAGGATTGGACTCCATATGTTGGAAGAGTTTTCAAAACAGAAGATAGATTTGCTTAACATATTTAGGACAGCTATTAAAACTGTTCCCATTTTCAGGTGGGAAAATTGAGGTTTACGTTCCTTGCAATAAAACATTCATAATTTGTAGCCATTAAATAATGCAGAATTTAAAGCGTGGTTTTACTGTTGAAAAATGGCTATCAAAATGAACTCATTTGGTTGTATATATATTCTCTCCCTATGATCCCCATATCAGATTGGTTCAAAATACTTCTCCCTCTTGCAGCTCTGCAGATTCAGTCTGGGAATAGAAATCAAACCGAGTTGTTCTGTTTGTTTTCCATTTTTACAATAACACTGATTCCGCCATCACAATTTAGACAAAGCAGAGTAGTTCTGTTTGTTCTTAGAAGCTCTCTTGGCTCCTCAGTGAAAAGGAGTTGAAACTCGCCATTAGCAGAGATGTAGCCAAAGCAGTTAAAGATTGGCAAAAAGTTATAAGCAACTGAAACTAGGGTCTTATAATGAGAAGAATCAGGCAGCCTGGCTTGTAAGTGATGCTACCAGCACTGTCTATTATACACACCATTGTGTTGTTTTGCCTCTAAACATTCTGTTTGCTTACTGCCTTATTTTGTATCTGCATGTTTCCTTGGAAGACAAGAGAAGCGTTGTGGCAGCAGTGTGCCATCCAGATTACTCATGCTATTCAATATGTTGTGGAGTTTGCAAAGCGGATAACAGGCTTCATGGAGCTCTGTCAAAATGATCAAATTCTACTCCTTAAATCAGGTGAGTGGTTAAGTCAGTCATTCTCTCTTCAAACCTTCCTTCTCCTCAGCACAGCCTTCCCTAGCCACATGCTTAAATGTGACTGCATTAGCAACCTTCCTGGCTTCAGATCCCACTCCCTCTAAAGTCAGTGGTGTTTTTCATTTACGGAAAAACTTACTGTTAATTGCAGAAGCCACAATCCCATTTGACATACAGCATAAGGAATTATCAAGTTGAATGGGTTTGATTGCCAAACTGCTGCCCCTAAAACCATCACTTGATTTTAGTGAATCAAATCCAGGCTAACTGGGCTCTGCCTCTGTGGCCAACTCTAATCATTTTAATGATGCTACAGCAATGCCTAGTTAGTACTTGGTAGGAGAAATCCCTGCTGACAGTAATTAATACTGAAATGAGTGTAGTTGGAGTGTGACAGCATGCATTGACACCGTTATATGTGTGCATGTATTGCAGTGTGTGTATGGGAGAGGGGGTAGTTTTTCTGTCATGTTGCACAGCAGTTCCTTCCCTTCTTTTAGAATCATTTTAAGATGCTCTTTGATGACCCATAGTTGTTAGGAACTGTGACCTTGCAATAATTCCGTTTCATTCAATAGTATAAAATGGTATTATCAAATAAGCTACTACAGGTTATTAACTGCATTACCCTGTTCTGTAATAGTCCCTGGATCTAGCAGAGGCTGGGATGCAGCATGAGGCAGTTTCTTTGAGCTAGAGAAGTGCCTTGTGTCATTCAATGGAGAACTCTCAGGCAATTCTGAAAGAGGCAGTATTGTTACGTGTGGTTGTGATATGGGATCACAATGTAGGAGGCTGGAGCAGACTGCAGAAAAATAAAAGGACCCATAGGGCTTCAGTGGGAATACAGACGATTCCCTGGAAAAGAAGGTCATTAGCATGAGAATAGTGAATAATATCACTACTGACACTCCAGCTTGTGTTAAACAATTTTATGCATTTGGTTGGTAAAGTAAAAGAAACAGTAGCACTTCGGGCGGGAAAAAAAGATTCGGTGACATTTTGCACTGGTTAGCTGCAGAGTGTATAAACTGCTAATGTTTTACTGGTCCTCAAATTTCTAATATTGATCAGATCTAGCCAGTATTCTGGGATTTTTCCCTCTGTTTCCTATAAAAATCCCCTTCTGAAGTTTTCCTTTTAGGAAATTCTGGTTTCCTTGTGGTAAAGTTTAAAAATGTGATAAAGTGTTATTTTCCCTCTGACATTCTACACCCTCTGACTGTTTCACCTCGTTTTCATTATGAGAAAGAGGGGGAAAGCCACAATTTCACACATTCTTATGGTTTTCCTGCAGAAAACATCATGGAAACAGTTTAGAAAAGTGAGGGGAAAAAACTTGTTTTCAAACTCACAAACATTGGAAAACAGTCATAAAGTATGGCAAACCCCATCATTTCTAAGTGGAAAAACTTTTTTTAAAAAGCCGTGTAACTAACTTTTTTCTTTTCAAAGAAAAATTTGGGATGCTTTTTCAAAACTTTTCATTACAAACAAATTAATGAAACCCTTTAAAAACCATCTTTTAATCAGAAAATGTTTGACCAGCTCTACTACTAAAATTAGGGGTGGCCTGCCAATTTTCACTGCCCCTAACAAGTATGGGGACCTAAACCGCTGGGTAGTGGGACTGGATCATGAATTGCTTCCCTTCTTTTCTGGTCAGTGCCAGAGGCATAGACTGGATGATGAAGTGTCTCCTACTCACATCCCACAGCCACAGAGGAGATCCCTCTGTCTTGTGAGTAACCAACTCAGCCAGCACCAAGGGCAGTCAAATGTGTAGGTTGTATTGTGTTGTTCGAGTGGGATTCACAAGGAGGGCATATGCCCTGCAACATTTAATATTGCAGCACCTCACTTTTAGGTAGTTCAGTTCTATGACATTTCTGAAAAAAAAAGAACTAGTTTGGGTCAAACTAAATCCAAAAATTGTGAAAAATTCTAGTGTATCAAATAAAAATATTTCAGGTCAAACTAAAAAAAAATCCCAACATGTATTTTTTCCAGTCACTTGTGAAGGGCTAGATGGTGATGGAAGAAACTACCATTGCAGCATTTAAGTCCAGTGCTTAGCGTTCTCATCTGGGATAGGATGCCCTGAGTTCAACTCCACATCTGGCTGATATGAAGAAGGGATTTTAACAGGGCTCTTCCATATTATAAGGGGATGCTCCAATCACTGGGCTGTGGTGTACTGGGGAGGAGGGGAGAGTTCTCTCAATCTCTCCTGTTGAATCTGATCAACTTTTTAAAAATAATTGGCAAAGCAGGGAAACAAAGTGGAAGAGTTTCAACAAGAGCGATTGAGAGGTGCCTCTCTCACATTATCCCATACCCCTGTGGTGAGGGCATTTTTCCTGTGAGGTGGGAGACGGAGGTTCGAATCCCTGCTCCACCTTAAGTCTAATATTAAGGAGGGGGGAAACATCCTTTTCCTTGCTGTTTTATGTGAGTTTAGACCTGCTCTGAGCACATCTACCAGAGGGGCCCCAGATAGCTGGGGAACAACTAAGTGTTTGATTCCACCAGGGGCTTAGGCATGAGTTAGGGACCAAGCAGCTGTCCAGTGTCAAGATTTAGGCAGGTGTGCACATACATGCCCTGCTGCTGACACTTAGTTACTCCACTGAAAATAAAAACATAAGTAACTTTTTGGATCTGGGCCTTAGGGGTTTTAGACATCTTAAAGGTTAGGGGGCTGCTGAGCAGGATTTTGTGATTGCTAGTGACACATAATATTGGACTTAGGTGCTTAAGATCTCCCGCCCCATGTAAATCCATATTTGTGCCCAAGGTTGTGTCTGTTCATAGATATTTTGCTAAGATACTTTTCTGAAATTAATACAGCTGCTTTCAAATATCCCAGTAATGAAGTGTGTGTAGTTTGCATACTCTTTCCTTGTCCAACAGGCTGCTTGGAAGTGGTTTTGGTGAGAATGTGCCGTGCCTTCAACCCACTCAACAACACTGTTCTGTTTGAAGGAAAGTATGGAGGAATGCAAATGTTCAAAGCTTTGGGTAGGTTTGCCTTTTTTTAGTTTTAGCCATTAGAATGAGCTCAATTCTGGCATCAGTGGAAGATTTATTTTTCTAAATAAAATAAAATAAAAAGTCATTGGCAGGTTTTGGTTCCTTTGCTTTTAGCATCGCAGAACACAAAACTACCATTTCAGCTAACATAACTCCATTAGCTGCTAGCAGTAGTAGGCTGTTTTCCTCTAGTAGAAAAGGAGCTATGGGAGGTTTGCAAGACACATTTTGGCAGAGTGCCTTATAAGGACTGAGTAAAATATGAATGTAGATTTCAGAATTTGGCCTAAAGTGATCCCAACCTCATTTGTGCTTGATATTTTCACTGGCATGTAATATCAACATAAAGAATGGTTTCAAAATTGAATCCTGTATGGTACATGGATCCCACAAAGGTCATGAGGGGGCACCAAAGGGTTATCCAGAATGCTCAGAATCGTGAGAGAAATTCAGATGCTGCTCAGGTTCATACTGATTTGGTAGAGCAACTGTTTAATTCCATATCACTATGGGTGTGTCTAGACTGCATTCCTCTTTCGAAAGAAGAATGGAAATGAAGGGAATCAAAAATGCAAATGAAGCGCTGTTTTACAAATCTCACGCTCCAATTGCATAATCACGTCTGATCGCTTTTTCAAAAAAGGTTTTCGAAAAAAGCAGTCTAGACGCGGTTCTTTCAGAAAAAAAACCTTTTTTGAAAGAACCCTATAAACCTCATTTTTTTCAAGAATCTCATTAATGGTTCTTTTGAAAAATGGGTGGGTTTTTTGAAAGAATCGCGTCTTGACTGCTTTTTTTTTTTTAAACCTTTTGAAATAGGAATGTAGTCTAGATGCACCCTATATGTACTATGCATACTGACTGCTACCTTGCTTTATAAATGACATCAGTGTTTTGGTTGTCAGAGTAATCAAACTGTTAATCATTCAGCAATCAGGACCAATTCTAATGAAGGATTCAATTTTGGTAGTAATTTGCATATAAGCAATGAGCTAAATATATGCTAACTGTAAATAAATATTCCATATATGTGTAGTTGATTTTCTTTGTCACATAGCATGTTTTTCTCCAAACTTCTAAAAACTTATCTCATATTGTTATCTCATGGATGTTTTAGGAGATGATTATTCTGTATTAATCAGACTCTTTCCGTAGATCCCATTTTCATTTTGGAAACAAAGGGGTTTTTTTTTCATAAAGAGAAAAGAAAATTCTTGGCACACATGTCTGTATGACATTGCAAAAGACATATTTCCCCCCTGATTCTTCTTTGGAGCTTTTAGATACACTTTTTTACTGGGAGTCATGGAAAGTTTTAGTGATGTGCAGCTGCAAATGTTACTTTTTAAATAGCTTTCCATTCAAGTGCAAATTCAGTTGTAAAGAAATGTTTACATAATCGAACACTTGCTCATTCACTTTCATTCTCTCTCTCTCTCTCTCTCTCTCTTGCTCTCACACGCATGCATGCAAGCACACACACATGCTCTTTTAGTTGACATCAAAACAATTAACTTTTCATGGCAGGGTAAAGAGCTGATAAATTTCTAGCATTGACTTTGTCCTCTCTGGTCTATAGGTTCTGATGATCTGGTGAATGAAGCGTTTGACTTTGCAAAGAATTTATGTTCCTTACAGCTGACTGAGGAAGAGATTGCCTTGTTTTCGTCTGCTGTTCTGATATCACCAGGTAGTTATCTCCATGTATTTTGATGAATCTTCTTTTCCACTGTATCCTTGTTCATCCTTTTTGCCTGCATAAACAGCTGTTGTTCCCCTACTCAAACTGTCACATTAAGAATTGTCTGGATTATCCTCTAAAGTCGTCTTTAATACATTATATCGACAGCAGTTAACTTACTGGAAATAGGCTCCAAACAAAATATGGGACATCAGCCTAAAGAGCCACAGGTAGTCAGATTTATGACCTGTCTGTTACCCAAAACATTCTGACCAGATGTTCAAAACCTGAACTAAATTACAGAAAAATAACCAGCTGGATTGGAGCCAAGTATTATCTCTTCAATGTTCAAAAGCACTGTCATAAAGTGAAGGAAGAAAAATAGGACCACTAGAAAGAAATGGGGTGGCAGATTTTATGTGATGGGCATAGACACTGATTGCAAGTGGTGCAGAGCATCATTCTCCCATGTATCATATCTTCCATGTATATCTCTGAGATACATTGTGCTTCAAAGAGGCATATTCCTTCTTGAATTCCAGTAAGCACAAGGCCTCAGTTCCTTTTCCCACTCTGAGGCAGTAGGCACTCTCATGGCTGGCACAAGGAAGTATGCATCGCCTTTGGCAGAGTAGAAAGATGGCACTGTGACTGCTTTTTCATGTGGGATGGGAGCAAGCAGGACAAGAGCCTACCCCATACTGCGTATCTGTACAAAGGCCAGCCAGAAATGCATTTATTCTCATGGGAATATGCTCATGTGCGCAAAATACCCATGTGTGTACATATGTGTTTGAAAACAACCGGCTGTGTGAATGTTCATGGAAAAGTAGAAAAAATAGGGTTTGGACCATAGGTGATTAGATCAGATCACAAGCTGAATCTAGTGGACATGTTCACAATTCAGTGTGGGATTTTTAAAAACATCTGAGGGAAAAGCACTCTCCCGCTGAATGTTAATGGGCCTTGTATGCCTAAATTTACTTTTATAGGATTCTACACACACCTGTGCGCACGCGCGCACACACACACACACACACACACAATTCACCCAATTCTGCTCACGGCCTCCTCTAAGTTGCTTTGTCCTTTTGTCACATCTGTGGAGCAGATTAATTTAGACAAAATTAGAGCAGCACAGATGGTGTAAATGTGCTTCATATCTTTATAAGAACATGTGCTGCAAGGATTCTGATCCTTGTTACCTCACCTTGTTACCCAGGAGAACTTGTGTTTTGTAACAGTTTGCTCCATGTTGGAAGGGATGACTCAGTGAGAACATGCTTCAGGTTAGCATCATTGGCTGCTTAGATGGAGTCATCAGAAGCAAAGCTGCTTTGCTGGGATGTATTTTAGGCTGGAGAGGTTTCTCAGCCACAGGAGAAAGGGCAGCAACAGAGCTGTGAGCAGAATCATATCCTCCAACCAAGTTTTGTTTTCTATTGCAAAACCTTCACAATGTGCAAAGGTGGAATCCCTGTGATCATGCTTGAACCTGTCTTTGTATTTAAACCTTTGCTGAGAGTTGTGTTCTAATATGATGTTTTACTAGAGTGACTGACTTAGACATAAAGGATCTGATTCAAGGCACATTTAAATCACTGTGAAACTCCATTCACTTCAGTCGGGTCATCCCAATACTGTACATCCATAAAAACGGTGACGATGCAGTAGTTTAATATATTTGGGAGCTAGATAAATACAAAAGGGAAGAGCAAATGGTCCTCTAAATACCCTACAGTTTGATAAGTGTCAAATATTTTGCTGCTAGTACTGAGCTGTGCCTCTCTCTGACAGAGATGGCTGGGTGTAGGAAGCTGTTTGGGAGATGTGTCCTATAGAGAAACAAGAGCAACTACCAAACTCTTGGGCTACGCCTACACTGCAGGCTTCTTGCGCAAGAACTGTTTTGCGCAAGAGTTCTTGTGAAAAAGGTCTTGCACAAGAGTGTGTCCACACTGCCATGTGGTTTTGCGCAAGAGATGTGCTTTTGCACAAGTGCGTCCATGTCACTGTGGGCGCTCTTTTGCGCAAGAAAGCTCTGATGGCCATTTTAGCCATAGGGGTTTCTTGCACAAGAAACCCCTGTTGCCCGTCCACAGTACTCTTGTGTCTCTGAAGAGCAAACGGATATTCTGATTTTCAGAGACACAAGAGTAGTTACCGTAATATCCCATAGTTGTACCTGTCATCTCCTGAATGGGTCTTTCCTACACACTGACAAAAAGACACATGATTAATTTCCATTCTCTCCCACATCACAAAAAAACAAATGTCAAAGCAAGGATATGTGCCACTTCTTTCTGCAGTCTATGTGTTTATGTGGGGGAGGGGGTGACATAACAGACAGATGGGTTGAAACACAATGATGACTATCACAAACATTTTCTTTGTCCTAAATTTAACTGTTATGCTTTATGCATAGCAGCCCTAATTGGTAGTATTAGACACTGAAACATTATTCACGAAAACACAGTACCAACCATGCTGATTCATTTCTAAGCCCATGCTTGTTATTGAGAGAGAAATCCTTAGGGAACATCCCTCTGTGGTAAATCTGTTTTGCTCCAGCCTACCACACTGGGCCTTGGTTTAAATCCACTAGAATGCATGTTTAATGACAGCATAAATTTGGCACTTAATATATGAAGTCTGAATAGTACTGTATGCTCACTTAGGCAGGTGTTATGTAAGCTCTACGCTAATCTTGTTACTGCTGCTCCTGCTATTACCGAATCCAGGTGCTTACCTTATGTGAACAAGATTCTTTATCTTTCTAACAAGGTTCTTTCTCTGAGCATCTGTTCAGTGTCTAGAGACCACCACGCTGTCTCTTTTCAGAAAAGGCTCAAAACAGTGTGTTCCGAACAGCAATAATTTCATGCTATGCCCTTTTCATGCACTTCTCCCCACATAGAGGAGACAAAATGATGGTATGGCTGTTAGTTATATGTTGAAACATAACTTTATCAGGCCAGTATGATAAATTCATATGAATGGTTAGTTTACAATAATCCTATCCAATCAGTGCTATTACTTCCCTTCTGTCTCTGATTTAAAAAATAAGCATCTGTATGGGGGAAGGGCTCTTCTACATTTCCTTGTTCTTCCTGTAAAATCTTTCTGCTCTAAAATAGATTTTTCGTTTCCTGTTTGAAAGCCAAAAACTATTTCTAAGACCCACTCAGAAAAGAGAGAGAGAGAGATTTGCAGCATGAAAACAAAAACTTTACTGGTCCAGTAATTGGATTGGATTGATAGACAGAGAATTGAATCATGAACTGCTGCACTATTTGCATATGGTTGTTTCAGGAAGCCATGAGTTGGGAGAATGTAGATCCTCATCTTTCACAGAAATCATAGGGAGTTTTCCTTTTGACGTCAGTACAATCAAGATAGGCTCCAAACAGCTATTTCTATAAACATATTCTCCCAGATAATTTTGATTTTATGTTACCTGGTGCTATTTACAAAGGAGTGCATTTTTAAATAATGATAAACTTGCATTTAAAGAGGTTGCAACAATTTAAAAAAAAATTAAATTGCCATATTTTATTGCTGTCAACGAGGTGTGACTAGTTTGCTCAGTTTGTTTATTCTTTCTGTACTCAATGGGTGCCAAAATAACGGTACTTGTACTGCCTGTGAAATATGATAGATATGATAGAGAAATATGAACAAGAAAACAATAGAGAATAAATGAATTGTCTGGACATTGTTTACATTTTTTGCAGGAGTTTGTCCATTTTGTCATGCCTTTCCTCGCTTATCCTTTTTATTAAAGTCCACCTAGTCAAGTTCAAACATGTAAATGCAATGTATTGGTAGCAATTACATACTTCATGTCGATGAGTTGAACTCCCAGGTGATTGTATAATAGTTCATAATATTCTGCCTCTGAAATAATGTGTTAATAGCATCACAGTTCCTTAGCATAACGAGATTAGCATTTGTCAACATGGTGCATGTTACCAATGCATGTATGAGTCCTCTTTCCTTGTTATTGTTGGCTTTAGACCTTGCCTTTCTTCTTCGTCAGATCGAGCCTGGCTAATAGAACCAAGAAAGGTCCAGAAACTTCAGGAAAAGATTTATTTTGCACTTCAACATGTGATTCAGAAGAACCATCTTGATGATGAGACCTTGGCAAAGGTAGATCCTTAGAACACACTAGTTCAAGACTATATTAACAGAATAAGACTTCCTTGGATTCAGAAGTGTTGCCAAAATGTATATAGCAAATCTATTATAACTCTTCTTATATATTTGATAACCAAAGTAAGGCTTTGATAGAGGATGTGGAGGAAGTGGAGGAACAGACAAAGGTGAAGCAGCAATTTAGTCATTACCAGATTATCTAATGCAGTATTCAAAATGTAATCTTTTTTTTTAAAGAATTCACTGAGAATGAGAGTCAGAAGACTCTGGAAGATATTAATATAAGAATTCAGAAAACAAGCTCAGTCTTAATATATTTCCCCACTGACTAAGGGTAAGAAAGAAAGTGTTACCATTTTATAATATTATAATATAACTAGAAGATTTACCCGACATTGCTTGGGTCCTTAACTCAAATAAGTTTTGTTTTTCTTCATCTAACTCATTGTTCTGGGGTGAAGCTGTGGAAAAGGGGGTTAGTATGCAGGTTGCCCCGGGGAGAGAGTACAAACCCAGCCCTTTCACACCACGAAAGCTTGGGGCCACGTGAGAAGTGCCTGCCTATAGCCACTGCAGCTGGCACAGCCAGGAGAGGGGTACATGTCCCCCAACTGGGGGACAGACAAACACACAGACAGACACACAAACAGACAAACTCTCTGGAATATATAGTAGATATCTGTCCCTTTCTCCGCTCCTGTCCCCTGCTGGCCTAATGAGGTTATAGCTGTCCTAGTCCCCATCTCTGCCCCCTTGCTGCTCCCCTGTGGTCATTCTGCAGTAGAACTGTCCCGCCTGCCAGACTCCTCTCTTTCCATTTTATGAGAAGCAATCGAATTCCAGGCACATCTCATTATCTTGGTATAACCAAATCCTTACCTTATTTTAAGCTACATACCAATTAGGTGGTCCTAGATCTTACCCTTTCGGAGGAATTCTTGCACAAACAGATGTATGGATGAATACATAGACAGACAGATGCACAAACTCTGTAAAATATATAGTAGATGTTTCAATAGTTTGACTGAGGGGGTTATCACATACTGCGAACATAGCATCGAGTTATTCCTGAAGGTTCACACCCATAGATTAACCTGAATAAATCTGGTATTTATTCTTTATCCTATTGGCCAAATATTTTGCTTCCTATTTGCTATAATTGTAATTGTTTAAAACAGAAATAAAATTTGTAAAACTTGAAGTGAGGAAAATCCCTTCCAGTTTTCAATAACAGACAATAATTTTACCAATTGGGTTGGTAAGGCTTCTTACTGAAATGCTCATATACACATATTTGTTAACACCGGGGAAAAGTGTAGGCACATTAGTCTAGAAAATCAAATGGAGAGCACATCTAGCACCGTGCTTTTTTCATGTAAGGATCACAAGGATACTTACTTTGTAAATTTTAGAGAGTCCATATCTGCCAAATGTAGGTATTACTGTAAGAAAGGATCTTGAAAGCATCATCAGATAAGCAAGGCCTAATACTGCAGTCCTGGTAAAAATAAATAAATAAATAAATAAATCCCTCCTCCCACTAATTTCAGAGTTTTGCCAGAGAAAAGATTATAAAATGTGTGGGGTACATAACATAAATTGTCAATTCAGAGGAAAATGGAGACATTTTAATTAGGTAGGCTCCCCATGTAACTGCACAAAAAATGCACTACTTTCCACAGGAAATTCTATAGGTTTATGTGGTAGTATTTTTAGTCAGTTAGAAAAACTAACCACATAGCACTCTGATGCTGAGGGAAAGAAAGGAAACTGCCGCTATTCTTTTCTCTGCTAGTCTTATTTTCTTCTTTTTCTTTCCAACCATTAATGATTATATTTGGTGCTATTATGGGGATGAGATTTCATTAAGGACCACCTCCAATATTCAGCCCTCTCTCTTACATGTCTATTTTAAAATAACACCCGTGCATCTAGGACAGTTGTGTTTGGTCTTTAATTGAAAACCAGCCTCTTCTAGACAATTTTTGCCAGTTGGGGTGGTAATTTTAAACAGGTTTTGCTGTTCTCGGTAAATCATAGTCAGTTATTCTTCTACCCAGCAGGATGCTACCTATGTGCATTCTGGAAACCCTGCTTTATTTCTAAACACTTTCTTGCTCTTTTTTTCCCTTACAGTTAGTAGCCAAGATACCAACCATTACTGCACTTTGCAACTTGCATGGAGAGAAACTGCAGGTATTTAAGCAATCTCATCCAGATATAGTGAATACACTGTTTCCTCCATTATACAAGGAGCTTTTCAATCCAGACTCTACCACTGGCTGCAAATGAAGGGGAAGATAGAATTGTCACATAGTCATGGAATGCATCACTGTTAAGACAAAAGAAATGTTTTCATGAAGACTTATTAAAAATGTCACTACTGCAACACTAGGAATGTCCTGCACTTAATAGAATTATTTTTCACCGCTACAGTTTGAAGAATGTAAATATGCACCTCTGAGTGGGGCTCTTTTATTCTTGTCTTTCTTTTACTTCTTTTTTTTTTTAACAGACCATAAATATACAAATATAGGACACTGGGTGTTACCTTTTTTATTTTATTGGGGTATGTTTTGGGAGACAACTGTTCATAGAATTTTATTGTAGATATAAATGAGAATAGAGCAGTACTTTGCAGTATTACTCTTGCTGTTTATTGTTCAAATATAATTTAAGAAAATTCCACTTATTAGACTTGCCTATTTCTATGTTTTAGATAGTTTAATGCATGTGGAAATTTATAGCTGTCTTGGAAATTGTTGTGCATATATGAAATTATATATTCATATATAATTTCATATAAAATATGCACATACTGTAGCTTAAAAATCCCATGCCTACTTTCAAAGGATGCTCCATCAGGCTCTCCTGCATTTTTTACACTCCAACTCATATATTAGATTTATTCTGGGCAATCAGGATTTTGCTCTGTGAGGCGGAGTGAAATCCTCACTCACCAATGTGTAATGACAGAATGGTATCACTTCTGAGAAACTTGTCATATAGAGTGCATAGGCAGTATGCAGTCTGTAAATCAAACATTAAGATTGTGTCAGTGATGGAAAAGCCTTGTCTGGATGGTTCAAATGGACAGAGGAAAAGTTATTTGGAATTTTCTCCCTGTTACAGGAATAAAGCATATATAAAAATGAACATAAGAGGACGGCATGCCAGTAAAGTACCTATAACAGAGAGTAAACATTTATCCCAAACAGAACATTTTTGTGAAAGAGCAAAACATATTTTATTAATGCTTCTTAGAGAACTAGATACTAGGCCCATCTTCTACCCCTGGACTTAAGTTGAACCAAGAGAGGGCCCAATACATAGCTTTGAAGAGTAAAAATGTGATGTGGTGATCCTGGTAGTGGTGGCAGGAAAGACAGTGGCCAGGTGAACCACAGTAAGCTGTTGTATGACAATGGAGGATTTCCATTTCCTGTAAGTATGTTGCTATTAGAGCTTCAGGCTAGGCCAGGGAATTGAATTCAAAATAGAGGTAGCAGCCTGGGTAGCAGCATTCAAATGCAAATGTGAATCTGTCCCAGATCATTCTCCCAGACCTGAGAGTGTTCTAATCCAGGGTTGTATTCATGCCTTTTTGTGTTGCTGATCCTGGGCAGAGGGAAGTGGGAGAGCAGGCCAAGCTGAAAAAGCAGTAATGAATAATGTGTTTGTTTCTCCAAGATCCACACCCAGTAGACCTTCCACCTGTGAGAAGAGAAGGGATTCTCCCACCATATCATACTTCCTGCTGTCCCCTTATCTTGTGGAGGCTTCTCCATAAGTTCAGGCACCTGAGCATGGGCAACTGGCAAAAAGAGAGAATTTGGGGCAGGAGAGAAGGGATCACTTCCTCCCCCATCTCCACCATCCACCTAGAAATTAATGCAACCTGAGTCATTCAGCACCATAAACTGTCCCATGCAGGGATTTCTGCAGCCCTGTCAGTATGGCTCCACAAATAGGGAGGTGGAGGAGACTCCCTGAGACCCCCACAGCTGAGGTGGAAGTGCATGGATTGCCCTAAGCCTCTGGCCCATTTCCAGGAGTCTGCAGGGATCTGGCCTGAATCTCCTCCTCATCACAGCTTCCTGTGGATTCTTTGATAAGATGTCAGGGTTGGCCCCTGAGGAAGGATAAGGGAATTTTATGGAGTTTTCCTTTCCCCCAGCTGGATACTCTTCTGTTGTATTGGCATGGAAGGGGCCTAACTGGGCAAAGTTAAAAATTGTTTGCCTCTCCAGCTCATTTTCTTTAGTAATCACAGACAAGATAAAACATCAATACATTTGAAAAGCCTCCATTATGCATGTAAGTCATAGGTTTATATTAGATAATTTTTTTGACTGGCCTGTCTCTAATCTCAAAAAATGTGCAAGCTGAAATAGTTCACCTTGGAAATTATTTATTTTCAATCAGATGGTGCTTGCGAAAGTACTTTGTACTGTGCATCTATTTCTGTAATTACTTGTTTTCTAAACCAGGGCCATGTTCACTGATATTTACTAATTACACTGAAAATGTCCTCAATTAAAATAACAAATAAAATTTGCACTTCTATAGCAACTTCCATCTCAACACAACTAATTAATACTGCTTTAGCCCTACAATATCCATGTATGGTGATAATGTATTTATATTCCCATTTTATAAAGGAGGATGGTGAAGCTCAAGACGGCTATGGGCCTAACCCTAAATCTCTAAAGAGAGAGTTTTATTTGACTTCACTTGGAGCAAAATCTTGAGCTAACATGTGACTTGCTCAAAGTCATGCAGAACATCTGTGGCAGAATCATTACTAGTTTCTTCCTTCATATTATTATCTAAAGTCCTGATTATCCAAATTAACTCGGTGCCTCCCCTCTCCATGACAGTCAGATAATCCAGGTATGCAAATATGTTACAGTAAGAAAAATATATGTTGATACAGCTAAAAATAAAAGTACCCATCAAGTCAGAGTGTAGCTCAGAAGAGAATATGTATACAGTTATTCCCCTGCTTGTCTTTGAAGGGGTTCAGCTACCTGTGCTTAAAAAAGTGTTTGTTTCAGTGTTATTGTGACCAGACGTAATATACATAGCAGAGACCCAAAGAGTATATGATTAAATATAATTGTTCTTTTTCTGTTTTTTTGGTAAATAATGAGGTTTTGTAATGTGGATAATGAATAGTCCTTCATTACTTTGTGTTGCTTCATGAAAAGTTTTTCAATTCCTTTCCTTTCATAAAACAAAACAAATATCTTTGGGAATTTTATCCCTTGTGCTCTCATTAACTGGACATAGACACAAAATATTTGACTCAGCCTAAATATCTTTGGGAATTTTATCCCTTGTGCTCTCGTTAACTGGACATAGACACAAAAGATTTTACTCAGCCCTTATATAGTGCTTTTCATCTTCACAACACTTAACCCTCAGCCAGTTAATCTTTTAAACACTTTTCATGTGTAAGAATTATTATACCTATTTTAAAATGGTGAAACTAAGACAAAAAAATTAAAGAATGATGCTAATGGTTACAAAAGAAGTAGTGTGCAAACTGGGAATTCTTTCCTAGACCACTTTTTAATGTGCATTGCTGCTCCTCTGCATTAAGATTTTTAGAACAGTATTTAAAAATTGGCAGTTCATAGAACCTAGATCACCATTAAAAAGGCAAGCGTTATCAATGTATAATTATTGAATTTACTCATCAGAACAGTATTTAAAAATTGGCAGTTCACAGACCTAGATCACCATTAAAAAGGCAAGAGTTATCAATGGTTACCACTATAATTATTCAATTTACTCATTGCAAATTATATTTGTTGTTAATTTAGCATCCCACTTTTTATTACTTTTGAATAAATTGCACATAGGGCCTGCTTTTTTTCCCAATATATTTGTTAGTATTCACTGAATACTTAAATTATCAGCAACAGCAGTTAGCAACTAGTCAAAGTTTGCAAACAAGTTGGGTTGAAATTTGCTTTTAAGTAAAATTGTTTTGGTCCTTGATTGGAAGACTCAAACTTATAAATCCATAGAAAAATGACTAATTAATCATGCAGTCTAGTACAGATTTGCAGATGATGGTTCATTTGTGCCAATATTTGAAAAAATTGAAATTGTATATCTTTTTCATGAATAGATGACAAGCATCTTAAAAACAAGCTACAACATGAGCTCCACATGTACTAGTAAACTGAACTTAATTTCTATTTCTTTTATTTCAGAAAATATGTATGCTTCTTTGTATATATTATTAGTAGTACTAGTTACTCCATAGTTGTATCTAAGACAGCAACGGTTAATACCCTACAATTAGAATCTGTCATAGTTCAACCACTGCTTGTGTGTTAGTTACTGGTACTTTTTAATGGCAAGCACTTTAAATGGGGCTGATTTTCAATGATTGATTAATCCCAACGCTTAAAAAAAAAGAATGTTTTAAAAATTTATACCTTCTCCTCCATTTCTAGCATTGTATTCAGATCATTTAACCATATTTAACCAAATTATCTGCACTGTCTGAATAGACAGATGTAGACAGCTTGTTACGCGACTACAGAGACTTAATTTTGGTGTGAATGTCACTCCTGCTAACTCTCTGTGTGAAGACTTAATTCCAAGAGTGATATTTCCTTCTAATGGGAAGATTAGTTCCTCGACTGCTAGGAAAACAGAGTAATAGAAGTTACTCAATTAAATCAAGCAGTTTGTAAATGCAATATATAGGTTTTAGGATTGGCTTGTGATTGGCAATATTTAGGATCTGATTCTGCAAGTTGCTCAGCTCCCTAACAAAAGCAGAAGGCCCGGAGCACCTCAGAAGAGGTATTTGGCACTTGATATAATCAAAGAATTCAAAGTTTGAAACTTTCATTTGAGCTCTGAGGAACACATGTCAAATGTTGCCTTTGTGTTTGTTTTAATGCTTTTAGTTTGTGGTTCCCATTGCTAATTCCAGACCCATTGCATAAGGGGATAATTTATTTCCTCCATTTCACCTTGGACTTTTAGATGGGTCCAAGCGATGTGTTTGAGAAGGTGAGGAAGATGAAAAAAGTATTACCCAAGACAAGTTTTACTCTGTGATGATTGGTTTTGGTGCTGGGCATCCTGGGTAACCTGTGTTAGTGTGAGTTTTCTTTGGACTATCTATATTTTGTTCCCCGTCTGCAAAGGTTGGGAAAAGGAACATCCCCTTGCCACCTTCCACCTCCACCCTACGTTGTGGAATGATAATGGGTAATGATAAGCTGTTTCATGGAGCAGGCAGAATCCTCAGATGTAGTGCAGATTTGGAATGTGTTCTGGTTGGTAGATGTGCATAATCACATATGCACCAGTCCCAAAATCCCTTCTATGCTATTACTCAGATGTAGTGCAGATTTGGAATGTGGTCTGGTTGGTAGATGTGCATAATCACAGATGCACCAGTCCCAGCTCCCAGTCCCAAAATCCCTTCTATGCTATCCTGGAGCTGCACAACATGTCACAAAGGGTGTTTGGGCTCCCTACATCTTCCTCCTAATACCATCCTTCCCCAGACAGCCTATCTCTATTGGTTGTGTTTCATTCACAATCACATAAAGACCTTGCTTGGACGGGAGGATTCGGCCATATTGTTACACAATATTAGGCATTCCTTGGAATATAACTGGATAATGAGATGAGACTGACACGCGACACAGTTGTTTTGGTCTAAACACATCCTGTATAAATATCTCTGTTGAAACTGAAACTCGAGACAAAACCAGCTTTTTTTTCCACCTGACACAAATGAAATATACTATTTATTCTTAACCTTGCCCAGCACTTTCTTCCTCCACTCTTAGGACTACCTACTATCTCTGACATCCTGTAGAAACAGTGACTCAGAGAATCAGGCCTCTTCTTTCCTTTCAAAGTTTCACACTTTGTAAATGACAATCACTGCTTGATGCAAATGTTGCACTGTATTGCCACTCAGGGACGTTTCATTATTAAAAATAAATATAATGGTCACAATAAGGAAAAGAATGTTAGAGGCTTTGAAGGGCACACATTTAGATGCCCAAATGAGAGATCCAGACAAGGCTTTCAAGGCAAGGGTTAGAAACAACATTGGTTAGAAACTGAATTCACTGTCATTGAATTCACTGTCATTGTTGCCGCAGCTCAGTTCAGGACCTTCTTCTTTTATTGTTTTGCATCCAGTAAGGTGTTTCTGAGCAGTTAATTCATGTTCTCAAATGTCCCCACACAATCAGAATGTAAATTAGCTCTCTAGGAGTTACTGAAATGAGACTATTGACAAAAGAAAGTTTGACTTATAGGTACTGAGGTAAGGTACCAATAATGTGGGCCATATTTGGAATTCCTGGAGGTATGTAGGGTGAAGGACTAGGACACAATAAATGATAGCATGTTGGTAGTAACAGCCACCATTTTGCTGACTGACCATCTGGAGAAATAATCACTGAGAGCTAGCCATAGAAAAGAAAGAGATTAAGTATTATCCTTTCCTGTCATGGATGCATCAGATCCTCAGGCCCAGTCCCAATCTGTGGCACTAAGCCAGGTCTTCTCCCAGCATACACCCATGTCCTTCTGTGTGGGTTGAGACACTGTTATTTTTTATTACTCCACCAGAGGCATGATATTCTCATAATCCCCTATGTTAGAATGGAAACAATGTTCCTCCTCCCCAGTCCCGCTTCTCGATGCCTTAACCAGGCCCACACTTCATCTGTTTACCAAGAACTGCTTGCCCTCTGGGTGCAGAGAACGTGAACACACACACATACAATCAATTCCCTCCAGCCCCTCACCTAGTGAAGCTGATCTTACTCCCTGACTAAGATAAGCTCACATTACTTCTCCCATATTTGTTAGGGATCCCTTTCTACCTCTGTGTCCCCCATACAGGGAGGATGAATGAAAAACCTCACATCAAGAGTTGGAAGGCAGAGACAAAGGCCCTGCTACCAATAGTATAAAGCTATAAATCTGTCTAGCAAAATTCTTATACTGGTAGCCATCACCATTCTAGTTAGTTCCTTGCAGCTTGAGTTTAGGCTATTCAAGTTTCTGGTCTACTTCAAACCTGTCATGGAGGTTATGGAGATCCAAAGAATTGCATCAGCACATCAGAAGGTAGAGCCTCCTGACCAATCAGAGAGCTCCCCACCACAAACATATCCATGACTGGGTTACTCAAGATCTGAGAAGTGACTAACCTACTTTGGAACCTGCTTAAAGCTAATTCACCCCTCATCCTAGAGGCATGTGAGACCTTCTCCACTGGGAAGGCCTAAAACTGCCTCCTTAGTCTCTCTCTGCCAGCAGTTTAGATTATATGGCTCTCACAGTTAATGTTTTAAATGACTAATGCACAACTTCTAAGTGGTCTAGAAGCAAAATATTTAAATATAAAAGTCACTTGCATGCACAGCCTGCACTATAGAAAAAAAAATCCAGTGTGGAAAAAAAGACAGAAAAAATTCTCTGTGGTTTCTAATAGATCAATAACTCTCCCTAAAAGACAGTCTGAATGTACAATGACATGGATGGATTATGCCAATCTGCTAGTGTCCTTTTTAAATAGTCCTTCCATTTGTTTACACTGAGGGTATGTCTACACAGTCACGCATAGCTTGAACTAAGCTATACACTTTGAACTACGCAAATTGTGTAGTTTATTTCAAAATAAAGCACTATTCCGGCATCTTTCTTATTCCTCATGCAACGAGGTTTACAGGAAGGCAGACTAAGACACTGTTATTTCTAATCTATTTCGAAATAACAGGCGTGCTGTTAAGATGTGCACAACTCTTTTTCGGGATAACGGATGTTATCCTGAAATAACGCCACTGTGTAGACATAACCTAAAAGACTAAGGAAATACACAAATTCATCATAGAAGAAGGATCAGATTCTTGTTTGGAGCTTAATATTGCCCGAACATTTATTGCAGACAATGAGCATAATACTGTTGACAGTGAGTTCAGTAACTTGATGTATTGCACATACATATTTTCATCATCCTAACAATTCAACTGCATCTTATAGGGAGAGTGAAAGAAAACATCATTGAATATAGCAGCAATAAATTCTAAGTGTTTCTTTGTAACTATACATGCAGAAAATGTTTGCTTTGCACGCTGTCGTCTGTACAGTAACATAAAGAAAAAACTTCATCTACTGTAGATATGACAATGTTTTTTCATATTTGTTGGACTTGCTAATCTTTAAGATACTGCTGTTGGGAAACATGTATATGCTTCAAGACAAGGCAGCGCTCCTTGTTTATTGCTATACATTGTCACCGGTGATACATGCG